CGCTCACCCCGAATATCCTCCCTCTCTCCCCTCCTCTCTCTCTGATTTCTACACATTCTCACTCACCCCGAATATCCTCCCTCTCTCTCCCTCTCCCTCTCCCTCTCCCTCTCTCTCTCTACCTCTCTCTGTCTTTTTACTCTCCCCCTCACCCAGTTGCTCTTCACTTCATTGGGATGAGGGAGTTGGTTATTTGGGGGGATAGGAGAAACTGGGGTTATTACCCTCATAGCAGAGACGTTTAAAGGGAAATTTAACAAGTGTTTCAAATCACATGTGGTTTTGACAGAATAAATGAGGAAAAAGTGCCCCACCATGGAGATACTGCGGCAAAGGTGAAGATCAATCATGATCTTATTCAATGGGGTGGAGCAGCCTGGAGTGGGCCAAATGGCCTACTTCTCCTATCCCTTCAGTGTCAGTAACCAGCACAGACAGATTTGAGGTGATTATGAAAAGATGCTGAGGAAAGTCAATGAGAATTTATTTTACTGGGTGTGTTGTCTAGATCCAGAGCTCAGGCAGGAGAAACCAATTCACTGGGAATTTTCAAAAGGGAATTGGAAAGATTTGTACGGCCGTGGGAGAAAAAGCAAGGGAATGTGTCTAATTGAACAGCTCTTTCGTACAGCTTGCAAAATCATGATGCGCTGAATGGCCTTCGAATGTACATTGATATCAAATATTCATTGGTTGATATCTCCACCCACTGGAATCCCTGGGGTTGGGGGAGTGACAGGAAATCTCATCCTCTGCTTCAGACACTGACCCCGTGTGTGAATTTCTGCCCCTGCCTCAGGGTGAAGAAATTGAAGGAGACTCTGTGCTCCGAGCAGCTCCTGGACAGGGAGATGAGTAACCTGCGGACCTGGCTCTCTCGCATTGAGTCTGAACTTTCCAAACCCGTCATTTACAACATCTGTGACGATCAGGAAATTGAGAAGAAACTCGCTGAGCAGCAGGTGAGTGACCCTTTGAACAGGAAGCCACTATTCATCCTCTTGAACCTGTCCACATTGTCAGACCGTGACCATTGTGCATCTTGACTCCATCTACGTTCCTTGCTTTCATAACCTTTAATATTCTCACCAAACGAAAGTCTCTCCGCCTTCAATTGGCCGCTAGCACCAAAGCCGTTCTGAGAGTGAGATCCGGATTTCTATCAGCCTTTGTGTGAATAAGAGTAATTACAATCATTTGGGTTGTACAGAAGTTCAGTATTGATTTAAAAGGTATGTTTTGTCGAAACTTTTTGTCTTGCCCACATCAGGATATTTTGCAAGAATACCAATTCAAGGGGAATACTGTTACTACGCACTATGGGAGGGGGGAGGAGGCAGTGTGCACTGTCAATCAGGCCCCACTGTTCCCCCAGTCTTACCAAAAATTAAAGTTTTGTTTAAGATAACCAATTTACCCGACTCTTAGACCAAAGGTATTAGAAAGCACAGATCAAGTTTCTGTCCTCAACAAAAAAAATCATGATTTATTTTAAGTACATAGTCTATAGCTACGTGAACAGTTATAAGCCATTGGTATTAATGTTTGCTAATTAAAACTCTAATCCCCTGATAAACTCCCCCTCTACACACACACTCACAGTCATACTCTCACATTCACTCTCTTTCACGCAAAGGCACACATGCTCTCACAGGCACACAAGCTCTCATGCACACACGCGCTCTCACACACACACGCTCTCTCACTTGCGTGCGCTCTCACTCACGTGCGCGCTCTCTCTCGCACACACGCTCTTTCTCGCACATGTGTGCTGGCTCTCTCTCTCTCACACACTAAGCTCTGCCCCCTGACGCTCTTGAATTTTTGGGAGATTACTCGTGTCTTCCACCGTGAAGACTGACGCGATGTAATTATTCAGTTCCTCAGCCATTTCCACGTTCCCCACTACTATCTCTCCAGTGTCATTTTCCAGTGGTCCAATGTCCACTTTAGCCCATTATATATCTAAAGAAACTCTTACAGTTCTCCTTTATATTACTGGCTAGCTTACCCTCATATTTAATCTTCTCCCTCCTTATTTCTTTTTTTGTTGCCCTCTGTTGGTCTTTGTAAGCTTCCCAATCCTCTGGTTTCCCACTGCCCTTCGCCACATTATATGCTTTCTATTTTGCTTTTATCCTGTCCCTGACTTCCCTAGTTAGCCTCATCCTCCCCGTACCAAGCTTCTTTTCCCTCAGGATGAATTTTTGCTGTGTCTGCTGAATTACTGTGAGAAACTCCTGCCACTGCTGTTCCACTGTCTTTCCTGCCAGGCTCCTCTTCCAGTCATTTCTGCCCAGCTCCTCCCTCATGCCTCTGTATTTGCCTCTATTCAGCTGTAATACTGTTACCTCTGATTCTATCCTCTACCTCTTGACAAGAGCAACAGATACATGGGAACACCACCCCCTGCAAGTTCCTCTCCAAATACACACACACACACACACACACACAAACACACATATTCTTACACAGGCACACACACACACGCATACACACACACACACGCATTCTTACACACGCACACACACACACACATTCTTACACACACACACACACACACATAGTGTCTCTCTCTCTCTCATACACACACTCACACACTGACACTCTCACACTCACTCTCACTCTCTCATGCACACACACTCACACTCTGTCTCTCCCATTGACTCACTCACTGTCTCTCTCTCTCTTTCTCTCACTCACGCACACACAATAACACTCTCTCTCTTCCTCTCCCTCTTTCTCTCTGTCACAATAACACACACGCACACACACACTCTCTTCTCACACATTTTGCAATCATCAGCAAACATTCCCACTTTTGACCTTATGTTGGTGGGAAGGCCTCTGACAAGTTTGACCCGAAGTGGGGATGTTTGTCAATGATTACACAATGTTCAGCACCATTCGTGACTCCTCAGATACTGAAGCAGTCCATGTTCACATGCAACAAGATCTGGACAATATCCAGGTTTAGGCTGACAAGTGACATTTGTGCCACACAAATGCCAGGCTATGACCATCACCAATAGGAGACAACCTTAACCAAACTTGACACCATCCAGAGCAAAGCAGCCCACTTGATTGGTTACACATCCATTCCCTCCACCATCAACATTAACTAGCAGCAGTGTGTACGAGCTACCAGACAGCACCTTCCAAACCCACAACCACTTCCATCTAGAAGGATAAGACCATAAGACATAGGAGCAGAAATTAGGCTATTCAGCCCATTGAGTCTGCTCCACCATTCAATCATGGCTGATAAGTTCCTCAACCCCATTCTCCCGCTTTCTCCCTGTAACCCTTGATCCCCTTGATAACCAAGAACCTATCTATCTCAGTCTTAAATGTACTCAATGACCTGGCCTCCACAGCCTTCTGTGGCAGTGAATTCCATAGATTCACCACTCTCTGGCTGAAGAAGTTTCTCCTTTTCTCCGTTCTAAAAGGTCTTCCCTTTACTCTAAGGTTGTGCCCTCGGGTCCTAGTCTCTCCTACCAATGGAAACATCTTCCCAACTCTGTCCAGGCCATTCAGTATTCTGTAAGTTTCAATTAGATCCCCCTCATCCTTCTAAACTCCAGAGTTCCTCAAATGTTAAGCTTTTCATTCCTGGGACCATTCTCGTGAACCTCCTCTGAACCCAGTACATCCTTCCTGAGATATGGGGCCCAAAACTACACACAATACTCCAAATGTGGTCTGATCAGAGCCTTATAGAGCCTCAGTAATACATCCCTGCTTTTATATTCAAGTCCTCTCAAAATAATTCCAAAGTTGCATTTGCCTTCCTGACTACTGACTCAACCTGCAAGTTTACCTTGAGTGAATCCTGGACTAGAACTCCCAAGTCTCTTTGCACATCAGGATTCTGATTTTCTCCCCATTTAGAAAATAGTCCATGCCTCTTTTCTTCTTACCAAAGTGCATGACCTCACACTTTCCCACGTTGTACTCCATCTGCCACTTCTTTGCTCACTCTCCTAACCTGTCCAAATCCTTCTGCAGCCTCCCGCCTCCTCAAAACTATCTGTCCCTCCATCTATCTTTGTATCATCTGCAAACTTAGCCAGAATGCCCACAGTTCCTTCATCTAGATTAATTTATAAAGTGAAAAGTTGTGGTTCCAGCACTGACCCTTGCGGAACACCACTTGTCATGGCTGCCATCCTGAGAAAGACCCTTTTAACCCCACTCTCTGCTTTCTGCCAGACAGCCAATCTTCTATCCATGCTAGCACCTTGCCGCTAACACCATGGGCCCTTATCTTACTCAGCAGCCTCCTGTGCGGCACCTTGTCAAAGGCCTTCTTGAAGTCCAGGTAGATAACATCCATTGGCTCTCCTTGGTCTACCCTGTTCGTTACTTCCTCAAAGAATTCTAGCAGATTTGGTAGGCATGACCTCCCCTTGATGAAACCATGCTGACTTTGCCCTGTTTTACCGTGCATTTCCAAGTATTTAGAAATCTCATCCTTCACAATGGACTCCAAAATCTTACCCACGACCGAGGTTAGGTTAATCAGCCTGTAATTTTCAGTCTTTTGCCTTACTCCCTTTTTAAACAGCGGTGTCACATTAGCGATTTTCCAGTCCTCTAGGACCCTCCCTGACTCTAGCGATTCCTGAAAAGACCACCACTAACGCCTCCACTATCTCTTCAGCTATCTCCTTAAGAACTCTGAAATGTAGTCTATCTGGTCCTGGGGATTTATCCACCTTCAGGCCAGTTTTTCTAGCACCTTCTCCTTGATGATGGCCCCCATACTCAGCTCTGCCCCCTGACTCTTGAATTTTTGGGAGATTACTCGTGTCTTCCACCATGAAGACTGACACTAAGTAATTATTCAGTTCGTCAGCCTTTTCCATGTTCCCACTACTATCTCTCCACTGTCATTTTCCAGCAGTCCAATGTCCACTTTTGCCTCTCTTTTGCCCTTTATATATCTAAAGAAACTCTTACAGTTCTCCTTTATATTACTGGCTAGCTTACCCTCATATTTAATCTTCTCCCTCCTTATTTCTTTTTTTGTTGCCCTCTGTTGGTCGTTGTAAGCTTCCCAATCCTCTGGTTTCTCACAGTCCTTCGCCACATTATATGCTTTCTCTTTTTCTTTTATGCTATCCCTGACTTCCTTAGTCAGCCATGGTTGCCTCATCCTCCCTGTACCATGCTTCATTTTCCGAGGGATGAATTTTTGCTGTGTCTCCTGAATTACTCCCAGAAACCCCTGCCATTGCTGTTCCACTGTTTTTCCTGCTAAAGATCCCCTCCCAATCAATTCTGCCCAGCTCCTCCCTCATACCTCTGTAGTTGCCTTTATTCAACTGTAATACCGTTACCTCTGATTCTATCTTCTCCATCTTGATAAGGGCATCAGATACATGGGAACACCACCCCTGCAAGTTCCTCTCCAAGCCACTCACCGTCCTGACATGGAAATATATCGCCGTTCCTTCAGTATCACTGTAACTCTCTCCCTAAGGGCATTGTGTGCAAACCTACAGCACAAGAAATCCGCTCAAGAAGTCAGCTTCTTCAGGACAATTAGAAATGGCTAATAAATGCTGGCCCAGCCAGAAATGCTCACATTCGATGAATGAATTTAAAAAAAAACAAACATGCTGGTGTCTGGGTCTAAAAATAAAACCAGTCGTTAATGAATAATGTCACTCTAACCTTCTGCTGCTTTGTGTCTGAATGTAAAGCAGCTTTTGGAGGAGGAAGGCAGCTGAGTTTCCGGGTTTACTGATGGATCTGATTGGATTACCCAGAGGCACTTCCTTTATCTGATCTCTCTGGTTTTACTTTAATTTGTTATAAAAAGTCAATTCCCAGTGAAGCAATCTCTGTCTGTCTCTCTCCCTGTCTGTTTCTCTCAGTTCTGTTGTCTCTCCCTCTCTCTGTCTGTCTGTCTCTCTCTGTCTGTCTGTGTCTCTCTGTGTCTCTATGTGTCTCTCTGATTGTCTGCCTGTCTGTCTGTCTGTCTCTCTCTCTGTGTCTCTGTTTTCCTTTCTGTTGTCTCCTCACCCCATCCCTGTATCTCCCCACAGAAGGGTCAGACTCTGGCTGTGGCACAGGTACCATGGGGCTTGCTTCTCTCTGGCCCCACTTCCTCATGATCTTCATCAGGTGTATTTGACATTGAATATTAGCAGAATATGACCCTTGTCATATCACCCTATGGTCATGCACTCGGTTTTATCTGTGTGTGCATGTAAACATATGTATCATCGTGTGCAAGGCCCCTGTGCACACATGATGGAGTGTGTGTGCGTGGATTCTCTGCTTATGATGATAGATAATAAAGAATAGTTATCAGTGTACAGGTCTGTGAATATGTTTGTGTGTACATATATCGTGGTGTGTATGGCTATGTCTCTCTATACACTGAAGTATGTGTGTGTGTGTGTGTGTGTGTGTGTGCGTGTGAGTGTGTGTGTGTGCGCGTGTGTGTGTGTGTGCGCGCGTGTGTGTGTGTGTGTGTTGTGTGTTGTGTGTGTGCGCGTGTGTGTGTGCGTGTGCGTGCGTGTGTGTGTGTGTGTGTGTGTGTGCGCGTGTGTGTGTGTTGTGTGTTGTGTGTGTGCGCGTGTGTGTGTGTGTGTGTGTGTGCGTGTGTGTGTGTGTGCGTGTGTGTGTGTGTGTGTGTGCGCGCGCGCTGATAGGTATATACCTGTGTTTTTTATATGCATATGGTAAAATAATACATTATAACTAGAACATGCTGTAATTTGAGCTGCCTATGCCTTAGGTCTGGAATGCCCTCCCCAAACTTCTCTAGCTTCACCTGCTTCACGTAAAACAGACCGTTTTCATCAAACATTTGGCCAAGTGACCTGACCTTTGGTTTGATGTTAGGTTATTTTCTGAGAACATCCTGGGAAGTATTTTGGGATGTTTTACAAAGTCAAAGGCATTGTATAACACCATAATATTGGAGAGCGTCGGGAAGCATAGACCCAGAGGGGGCTGTGTTTTATTGTATTTGTATATTACTATGTTCATGTTTCTCTAATATCAGTGATTGTGTGTGTCTGTGTGCCTGTATGGAGATTGTGTAAATGTGTTCTGTACTAGTCGGCAATAGGTATTAGACCATGTTAGTGTTTGTCTGTGTGTTAGAGAGCATTGTGTGACCTGTGCTTTTTGTTTCAGGAGCTGCAGAGGGACATTGAGCAGCACAGTGTGGGTGTGACATCGGTCCTGAGCCTGTGTGACAGCCTTTTGCTTGACACAGACACGGAGTTAGAATGCGACTCGATCCAACAGACCACGCGGAGTTTGGACCGCAGGTGGCGCAACATCTGCGCCATGTCAGTGGAACGCCGAATGAAGTACGTTACAACCTACCGTCGATGTGCTGGTCGGGGGCGGGGAAGACTTTCAGTGAATAATTACCCCCTCCCAGCCCTGGTTTGGGACACCCCTACGCCAGAGGAAATAGAGTTGATAGAGAGAAACTGTCATCTCTTTTAATCATCTTCAACCCCTTTAATTATATTACCTCCTCATTAAATCCTCTAACCTCCAGCCACGGGCCAGCGAGTACAGAAATAGGAGAAGTGGGCAGATGAATGCAGGTGCAAGAGGGTTTTACATTTTCTGGCACGGTTTCTGGGGAAGGTGAGATCTCTACAAGTGGAGCCAGTCTGCACCCTGACCCAGATTAGGGGCCCAGCAATCTCTTCCCCAGCTTCCCACAAAGTTCTGGGATACACCTGATCAGGTCCTGAGGATTTATTGACCTTTATGCATTTTAAAATGTCCAACACCACCTCCGCTGTAAGACGGCCACTTTTCAAGACATTGCTATTTATTTCCCCAAATTCTCTAGCTTCCGTATTCTTCTCCCCAGTAAACACTGACACAGAATATCGACAAACCTGCAGCAGATGGAGTTCAACGTAAGAAAGTTATCCTTTTTGGACTGAACACAAGCTAGACAGTGCTTCCAAGTTGGCATGACGTTAGATACAGTGGATGCCTAAAGACAGTAGAAGATCCTGGTGCATAGATCTTTAAAACATCACAAACAGGTGCTGAAAATAAACAAGGCAGGCAATGGAATGCTGGCCTTTATGTCTAGAAGACTGGAGTACAAGAAGTTAGACCCCACTTGGAGCAGATCTTTAGGAAGGATGTTTTGTCCCTGGAGGGAATTCAACGCAAGTTTGCAAGAATGATACCTGGAGCTGAGGGGTTAAGTGTTGAGGAGAGATTGTACAAATGAGGCCTGTTTTCTCTAGAAATTAGAAGGTTAAAGGGTGATCTGACCAAGGCTTCAAGATATTAACAGGAAAAGACAGGATGGATAAAGATAAACTATTTTAGGAGATTCTAGAACTAGGGGGCATAGTCCGAGAATGAGCGCTCAAATGAGGAGAGGTGTTGGGAATCAGTTGTTATGAAGGAGAGGTCTATCCTCCTCTGAATAACTAAAACTGAAACACCCAGAGAAGCTTGCTTCGCCTCGTAATCTGTTAAAGGAAAGTGTGAAAAGTGGTTTAAACCTGCCTGTCACTGTCCTAATCTGTTATACAGAGTGGTTAAATACAATAAAATACTTTCACTCACTCTATAATCAACAAATAATAATTTATTTAAACAACTCTAACAGTGAACAAATTAACAAAACTACTAACAAACTGAACAATTCCCCCTTAACTACTAATTATTCCCAAATAAGCAAAAATTCTAATAATATGCTGTTCCAGTAAATATAAGTCCCACTTAGGTAAATCAAAATAATAAAAAAAAAGTTAAAACTTAGCCTCTCAAAATTACAGCTAGGATAAGTCTTCCGGAATGCTCCATGCCCTGTCCGCTGATCCTCAGTCAGGAACGCCTCTCTCCGTTGAATTCTTGCATCAGGAGTATTACCTAAGGATGCTGCTGTACCTTTAGTCAGATGATGGTTTCCTGAGAGCTTAGAGACTTCTCTCTAAGACAGCTAAGACTCTGTAAGACTTGACTCTCACACTGATTTTCAAAAGCCCTCTTCTTTTATACCCATGATGACCTATTAATTTCTTACAATAGGATTGATCCTAGGTTGTCAAAAACATCAGATTTAAATTTAATTGGGTTTTGGTATCTAGGGCCTGGTTTAAATTAATTGGCTAAATTCAAAAATCTGTTGTCTTGGTAAAAATGCTACTTTGCCTGCTAACAGTATAGCCTTTTGGTACGATGTTTCAGTTTCAAGAACTCTCTGTGTATCTGATGCTGCCTGCAGACTTTATTCTATCCAAGCCTAAAATACACATCATCTTTTAAAGGGACCACACACACTTCCCCCCTATCATTTTACAAACATCAAATACTGTACCCAACTTCGCAACAATTTCCACACACAAAGGGTGGGGAACTTTGGAACTCTCTTCCACAAATAGCAGTGAATGCTGGATCAGTTATTATTATTAAATCTGTGATAGATGAATGTTTGTTAATCAAAGGTCTTAATGGGTATGGGCCAAAGGCAGGTAAATGGAGTTAGGCCACAGATCATCCACAATCTTATTGAATGGTAGACAGGCTCAAGAGGTTGAATGGCCTGCTCCTGTTCCTATGTTCCTACTACAACAGGGACATAACTGCTTTAGTAAAGGAACCACGATAGCAGGAGTTCAGCCGTACTGAGTTTCAGGGAAGCAAGGCAAGGCTGAATTGTCTCCATTTCACTGCTAGGAATTTTACAGGTAAGGCTGGGTGAGTTAAGGCTGTGGATTGACCTGTGGACTTCTGATGTTGTTGCTGTCACAGTGACGTGGTTGAGGAAAGGGGGCAACTCAACATTGTGGGGTGTAGGATCTTCAGACTGGACGGGAGAGGTCGTAAAAGAGGAGGTGGTGCATTATTCATGAAGGAGTTAGTTATTACAGTAAGAAGGGACAATATCTTGGAACGGTCATCCAATGAAGCTTTGTTGGTCGAGCTTAGGAATAAAATGGGGGCAGTGACAGTGAGAGGAGTGTATTACAGGCCTGCAAACAGTCAGTGAGCAATTGAGGAGCAGGCATGTCGTCAGTTCACACAGAGGTGTTTACAAACAAAAGAAGATGATTATTTTAGGGGATTTCAATTTCCCCAATATTAATTGTAGGGGACAGATTTCTTGTAATGTATTCAGGGGAGCTTTTTATATCAACATGTAGATAGTTCTACAGGGGCAGTGCAGCGCTGGACCTAACTCTGGGGGGGGCGGTGAACCTGGGTGGGTATTGAGGTGACACTGGGGGAGTATTTTAGTGAAAGCAACCACAAACACCATAGTTTCAAGTTTGTTATGGAAAAGAAGAAAGACGGTCTTCAACAGAAAGCTTTTGGATTGTTGTAAGGTTATGTTTTATTTGAATAAAGCAGGTTCTGGCCAGAATAGACTGGGAACAACTACTTGAGGGTAAATCTACAACAGAACAGTGGGAGGCGTTCAGAAGGTGCTGGGTCGGGGGGAAGTGTAGGCCCAACGTGTCCCCTTTCGGGTGAGATGTAGGAGCAACAAGCCCAGAGAACCCTGGATGTCCAGGAATACTCAGGACTGAATAATAAGGAAAAGAGATATGTAACAGTTACGAGGGAAGCAAAACAGCGGAGGCCCTAGTGCAGTATAGAAAGTGCAGAAGGCAATCTTAAGAAAGCAATTGGAGGGAAAAGAGTGGGTTTAGGAGAAAAAACGTTGGTGAGCAAGGTTAGGGAGAATCCCAAGATATTCTACATGTATATTAAGGGGAAGAGTATACAGGGAAAGAATGTGGACCAAGGGGGGATATCCATGTGTGAAACCAGAGAACATTGGCAGGACGTTAAACAAGTACTTCACATTTGTGGAGAAAGATGTGATGTACATGGATTTTAGCAAGGCATTTGATAAGGTGCCCCATGGTAGGCTCATTCAGAAAGTAAGTAGGCATGGGATTCAGGGAAATGTGGCTATCTGGATACAAAACTGGTTGTCCAATAGAAGACAGAGGGTGGTAGTAGATGGAAAGTATTCAGCCTGGAGCTCGGTGACCAGTGGTGTTCCACAGGGATCTGTTCTGGGATCTCTGCTCTTTGTGATCTTTATAAATGACTTGGATGAGGAAGTAGAAGGGTGGGTTAGTAAGTTTGCCGATGACAGGAAGGTTGGTGGAGTTGTGGACAGCGTGGAGGGCTGTTGTAGGTCACAACGGGACATTGAGAGGATGCAGAGCTGGGCAAAGAAGTGGCAGATGGAATTCAACCTGGAAAAGTGTGAAATGATTCATTTTGGAAGGTCAAATTTGAATGCAGAATACAGTGTTAATGGCAGGATTCTGGTCAGTGTGGAGGAACAGAGGGATCTTGGGGTCCACGTCCATAGATCCCTCAAAGTTGTGACCCAAGTTGATAGAGTTGTAAAGAAGGTGTATGGTGTGTTGGCTTTCATTGGCAGGGGAATTGAGTTTAAGAGCCGTGAGGTTATGCTGCAGCTTTATAAAACTCTGGTTAGACCACACTTGGAATATTGTGTTCAGTTCTGGTCACCTCGTTATAGGAAAGATGTGGAAGCTTGAGAGAGGGTGCAGAGGAGATTTACCAGGATGCTGCCTGGACTGGAGGGCAGGTCTTATGAGGAAAGGTTGATGGAGCTAGGGCTTTTCTCATTGGAGTGAAGAAGGATGAGAGGTGACTTGATAGAGGTTTACAAGGTGATGAGAGGCATAGATAGATTGGATAGTCAGACACTTTTCCCCAGGGCGGAAATGACTATTACGAGGGGGCATAGTTTTAAGGCGATTGGAGGAAGGTATAGGGGAGATGTCAGAGGTAGGTTCTTCACACAGAGAGTGGTGGGCGTGTGGAATGCGCTGCCGGCAGTGGTAGTGGAGTCAGATACTTTAGAGACTTTTAAGCAACTCTTGGATAGGCAAATGGAGGATAGTAAAATGTAGGGTATGCAGGGTAGATTGATCTTAGTAGGATAATAGGTCGGCACAACATCGTGGGCCAAAGGGCCTGTACTATGCTGTACTGTTCTATATTCTAAAGAGGATGTTGGTACAAAATTTGGGAGGAGAGACTGTGAGGTTCTTCAGCAGTTTGACACACAGACTGAGGAGATGGTTGAGACAAGCATTAAAATGGACGAATCGCTGTGTCTGCATGAGCTATGTCCCAGGCTGCTGTGGGGGATGGGGAAGGAAATAGGTGGGGCTCTGACCCAAACCTGTAAATCATCTCTGGCCACAGGGGAGGTGTGAGAGGACTGGAGGGTAGCTAATGTGGTTCTACTTTACACAAAGGATGGTACAGTCTAACATCAGTGGCAGGGAAACTGTTGGAGAAAATACTGAAGGAGGGAATGAATCACCATTTAGAGAGGCGAGATTTATTCAGAGATAGTCAGCATGGCTTTGTAACCATCCTAGGACAAGCCAACCAAAAACACGCCTAGAGGCCTGGTACTCAACTGGAACTCCATCAACAAACATTGTGGAAATAGACCCCATTTACCAATCACTACGAAGCAGAACCAGAAATGAGTCCAACCACAACATCAGACCAGACCCACATAAATAACAAGTGGGAGAGACCAACAACGCTTCCTTTGAGGCACACTGATTGTGTTACCGAGTACGGTGACGCAACGGCTTCAAACCAATCTACTAGCTCCAGCGAGCAAATCAACATCTTCTCCCACAATCCGAGCTAGAAGTCTTCTCAAAAACTTTAATTCCCTTTTACTGTTTGACCTCCCTAAATGCGTTACCTCACACTTCTCAGAGTTGAATTCCATCTGCCACTTTCCAGCCCACTCCACCATCCCATCTGTATCATTGGAGTTTGCAGCTCTGCACTGCACTATCCACTACATGGCCAATTTCTGTGTTGCCTGAAAATTTCCCAATTGTGCCCCTCATGTTCAATTCCGGATTGTTAATGTATGAAGCAAACAGCAGGGCTCCCAACGCTGAGTCCTGTGGAACACCACTTGAAACAGGTTTCCATTCACAAGGGCGGCCATCGATCATTAGCCTTTGCTTCCTGTTACTAAAGCCAATTTTAGATCCAATTCGACACATTACCCTGGATCCCATGGGTTTTTATTTTTTGATCAGCCTGCCATGTGGGACCTTGTCAAATGCCTTACTAAAATCCATGGGGACAACATCCACTGTACTACCCTCATAGATCCTCCTTGTCACTTCCTCAAAGAATTCAATCAAATTAGTAAGGCATGACCTTCCCCTAATAAAGCCATGCTGACTATCCCTGATTAGTCCATTCCTTTCTAAGTGACAGTTCATCTAGTCTCTGAGAATTGATTCTCATAATTTACCCACCACCCATGTAAGACCAACTGGCCTATAATTGTTTAGCATTTCCTTCATACACTTTTTAAACATTTGCATTCCTCCAATGGCTAGTGAAGATTGGAATATAATCCTCAGATCATCTGCTATTTCCTTCCTGACACCTTCAATTTCCGCAGGAACAATCCATCTGACCCTGGTGACTTATCCACTTTCAAGGATTCCAGCTTCTCTAACACTTCCTCTCTTATTATGAATATTTTGTCCAATATTTCACACTGCACGTCTTGGATTACTGTATCCATATCATCCCATTCCTTTGTGAATACGGAGACAAAGAATTCATTTAAAATTCTCCCTATATCCCCTGCATCTTCACACAGTTCCCATCTTCATCTCTGCTCGGTCCCAATTCTTCCTTAACTATCCATTTGCTCTTTATGTAATGGTAAAACATCTTTAGGTTTTCCTTTATCTTCCTTGTGAATATTTTTTCACGCCCTCTTTGATTTCCTTATTTCTTTTTTATTTGATCCATGTACTTTCTGTACTCCTGTAGGCTATCTGTAGTGTTGAGTGTTTTTGTGACTACCATAAGCTTTCTTTTTCTGTTTAATCGTCCTTTGTATTTTTCCAAAGAACGGTGAGGGTCTAGATTTAACATACCATTCTTATATTTGGAGGGAACATGTCTGCTTTGTGCCCTAAGGATCTCACTGCTTAGTGCCTCCTGCTGGTTTACCACGGATTTATCCTTTAGCAGACCTGTTCGGTCCACCTCAGCCAAATCATCCCTGGTGGTCTAGTGGTTAGGATTTGGTGCTTTCACCGCTGCGGCCCAGGTTTGATTCCCGGTCAGGGAATCAAGTTACTGTGTGAAGTTTGCACATTCTCCCCGTGTCTGCGTGGATTTCCTCCGGGTGCTCTAGTTTCCTCCCACAGTCCAAAGATGTGCAGGCTAGGTGGATTGATCATGCTAAATTGCCCGTAGTGTTCAGGGATGTGTAGACTGGGTGGGTTATAGGTGGATGGATCTGGGTGGGATGCTGCAAGGGTCGGTGTGGACTTGTTGGGCCGAAGGGCCTGTTTCCACACTGTAGGGATTCTATGATTCTATGATATTAAAAAAATCACTTCTCAGTTTTGTAAAATTTGCATTCCCACTTTAAAACTTCTACTCCTCAGTTTTTTTTTTATTTATGTATGGGACATGGGTGTCTCTGGCAGGGCCCAGCATTTCTTGCCTGTCCCTAGTTGCCCCTTGAGAAGGTGGGGGTGAGCTGCCTTTTACTTATCATTGTCCTCTTCCATAACAATCCCAACTCTAACTGAATAGTGTGGTAAGCGAGCCGGTGATGGTGTGCGCCGTGCGGTAACCGAGCCGGTGATGGT